TAATTGCTAAATGTTGAACATCTTTGAAGATGTTTCATAGTCATCTTTACTTCTTCTTTTGAAAACTTTCTGTTCAGCTCCTTAGCCCATATTTTAATTGGGTTGCTTCTTGTCTTGGTTTTTTTGTTTTTGAGTTCTTTATATATTCTGGATATTAAGCCTCTGTCAGATGTGTCACTGGTGAAGATATTTTCCCATTCTGTGGGTTTTCTCTTGACTTTTTTGATTGTTTCTTTTTGCTGTACAGAAAGTTTTTAGTTTAATGAGGTCCTACTTGTTGATTGCTGACCTTAATTCTTGAGCAACTGCTGTCTGATTTAGAAAATCCTTTCCTACACCTATATCTTATAAGTTACTGCCAATACTTTCTTCTAATAGTTTCAGGGTTTCTAGTGTCACATTGAGATCTTTGATCCATTTGGAGTTGATGTTTGTGTAAGGTGAAAGATAAGGATCTAGTTTCATTGTTCTACAGGTGGAGATCTAGTTTTGCCAGCACCATTTTTTGAAGATGCTGTCTTTCCTCCATTGTGTGTTCTTGGTTCCTTTGTCAAATATCAGGTGGCTTAAATTGTCTGTACTTGGGTTTGGATCTTCAGTGATGTTCTATTGATCTATGTGTCTATTTTTGCACCAGTACCATGCTGTTTCTAAGACTATAGCTCTGTAGTGTACTTTGAGATCTGGTATAGTAATCCCCCCACCAGTGCTCTTTGTGCTCAGGGTTGCTTTGGCTATCTGGGGTCTTTTGTGCTTCCATATGAATTTAAGGATTGTTTTTTTCTAATTCTGTGAAGTATGTCATGGGGATTTTGATTGGGATTGCATTGAATCCATGTATTGCTTTTGGTAGGATGGTCATTTTAACAATATTAATTCTTCTAATCCATCAACATGGGTGGTCCTTCCATCTCCTGGTGTCTTCCTCAGTCTCTTTAACGATTTCAAATTTTCATTGTAGAGATCTTTGGTATCTTTCGTCAGATTTCTTCTAAGGTATTTTAATTTTTTTGTAGCAATTGTGAATGGGAGCATTTCCCTGTATTCTTTCTCCAATTGCTTATTATTGGTATATAGAAAGGCTAAAGATTTTTATAGATTGATTTAATAACCTGCCACTATTCTGAAAGTGTTGATCAGTTCTAGGAGTTTTCTGGTGGAACTATTGGGATCTCTTAGGTGTAGTATCGTATCATCTGCAAAAAGTTATAGTTTGCCCTCTTCTTTTTCGATTAGTACCCCTTGAGTTTCCTTGTCCTGTCTTATTGCCTAGTTAGAGTTTTAATCGCTATGGTGAAAAGGAGTGAAGATAGTGGACATCCTTGTCTGGTTCCAGATTTTAATGGGAATGTTCCAGTTCTTCTCCATTTAGAATGATGTTGGCTGTGTGCTTGTTGTACATGGCTTTAAATATGTTGAGGTATGTTCCCTCCAGTCCAATTCCCTCTAGGACTTTGAACATAAATGCATGTTGAATTTTGTCAAAGGCCTTTTCTGCTTCTATTGAGATGACCATGTATTTCAGTTTTAATTATGCTGACGTATGTTCCCTCTAGTCCAACTCCCTCTAGGACTTTGAACATAAATGCATGCTGAATTTTGTCAAAAGCCTTTTCTGCATCTACTGAGATGACAGTGTGTTTTTTTGTCTTTGAGTCCATTTATATGATTACTGATGGTTATTGACTTGTGTATATTGAACCATCCCTGCATCTCTGGGATAAAGCCTACTTGTGTGTGTCTGTATGCAGCTTGCAAGTATTTTGTTGAGAATTTTTGCATCTATGTTCATTAAAGGAATGGGTCTATAGTTTTCTTTTTTGGTTATGTCTTTACCCAGTTTGGGTATTAGAGTGATGTTGGCTTCATAGAAAGAATTTGGGAGTTTTCTCTCTGTTTCTATCTTTTTGAATAATTTAAGTAGTAGTGGTTGGAGGCCTTCTTTAAATCTGCTGTAAATCCATCTGGATCTGGCTTTTTTTAGTTTTTTTAGGTGTGAGGCTTTGTATTACTCTTTCAATTTCCTCATATGTTATGGGTCTGTTTAAACTGTTGATGGTTGGTTTAACTTTGGTGGTTCACATGATTTTAGATATCCATCCATTTCTTTTAGATTTTCAAATTTGATAGCATATAAGTTTTTAAAATATCCCCTTATCATGGTCTGGATCTTTTGGGTGTCTGTTGTGATGTTTCTCCTTTCAGTTCTGATTTTGTTGATTTGAATTTGCTCTTTCTTTTGGTTAACTGGGCTAAGGGTCTATCTTGTTTAGCTTTTCAAAGAGCCAGCTCTTAGATTTATTGATTCTTTGTAGTATTTTCTTTGTTTCTATTTCATTAGTTTCTGCTCTGATTTTTGTTATTTCTTCTTGTCTGCTGGGTTTGGGCTTCATTGCTGCTTTTCAAGTATCTTGAGCCCAAGGTCTTGAGTTTCAGTGTTAGGTCATTGATTTGGGCTCTTTCTAATTTTTTAATGTAGGCACTTAGAGCTATAAACTTCCCTCTTATGACTGCTTTTAAAGTGTCCCAGAGGTTGTGTTGTGTTGTATTGTCCTTTTCGTTGAATTCCAGGAATTCTTTTATTTCTTTCTTAATTTATCCTTTGACCCACTCATTGTTTAGCAGTGTGTTGTTCAATCGCTACGAGTTTGTGTAATTGCTAGGGTTTGTCCAGTGTTGATTTTGAGCTTTATTGCATTGTGGTGTGATAGAATGCATGGGATTATTTCATTTTTTTGTTTTATTTGTTGAGGTTTGTTTTATGGCCCAGTATGTGATCAATTTTTGAAAAAGTTCCATGGTGTGCTGAGTAGAAAGTGTATGCTTTGGTGCTTGGGTGGAATATTCAAAAGATGTCTGTTAGGTCCATTTGATGTATAGTATCATTTACTTCAGACATCTCTCTGTTTATTCTGTATCCAGTTGAGCTGTCCAATGGAGACAGCAGGGTATTGAAGTCCCCTACTGTTACTCATTTGGGGTTAATCTGTGTCTTAAATTCCTGTAGTGTTGTTTTTATGAATTTGGGTGCACCAGAGTTTGGTGCATATATGTTAAGGATTGTAATATCTTCTTGGTTAACTGTTTCTTTGATCAGAATGAAGTGACCCTCCTTATCTCTTCTGATTAGTTTTACTTTGAAGTCTATTTTGTCAGATATTAGAATTGCAACCCTTCT